TCCGCACTCGTTATGTGGGCAGTGCAGAGTGACTTCCTCCAGAGTGCTCTGGAAGGGGAAATGACAGATACAACCTCAGTCAGGTGATCAGGGTCAGCATCAGTGATGCGTCATGTGGACAGTGTGCGTCCTCGATATAATATGATGAGAGGTTTTCCTCCCAGAAACCCATAACCCCAGTCTCATAATGAAAAAAACGTCAGACATACCAAATTCAGGACATTCTGCAAACGACCTAAGCAGTACTCCTCAAAACTGTCAAGGTCGTTGAAAACGAAGTCTGAGAAGCTGACACAGCCTAGAGGAGCCTAAGGAGACATGGCAGCTACATGTAGTGTGGTCCCCTGGCGGGTCCTGGAACAGCTGGTGTTGATCGTGCCAGGGCAGTCTGACTAAAGTGTACCCGGAGCTAACAATATTCTGTCAATACTGGTTCGTGAGTTGTGACAGATATGCCGCACCATGAAAGATATTAATGATGGGGGAAGCTGGCTGAGTGTGGAGTGTGGAGGAACTCCCTTGACTCCGTCACAATTTTTCAGTAAATATAAAACTGTCCTAAAATTTAAAATTTAATTAAAAACAACCTCCGTGGGAAGGTTTTTAGTAATGCCACTGCTGCCCATGGTTTGGTCCACACCTTGACTCCACCCTGTTTCCCTGCTTCCCAGCAGCCTTTTCAGTGCCACTTGGGGGAGGGAGGGGCACAGAGGTGAGACTGGAGGGGGAGTATTGGGCACAAAATGAGGCTGGAAGGTAAGTGGGCGTCAGGTCGGGCAGGGCATTGTGGATGCTGTGAAAGAGAGTTGGTGTTTATTCTGAGGACATGAGAAACCATTGATAATACGTATTTTGAAGGCAGGTAGTGACAAGATCAGATTTCTCTTGGCATGGAGGCGAGTGAGTGTGATATCAAGGATGACCCCCAAGCTCCCTGCTTCAGTTGTTACAGAGATGGTTGCATAGTTACGACCGCCATGGGGGACAGAAATCAAGAAGCCCTTACGCAATTCAGCCACTGGGAGAATTCAGCTCAGGCAACTCCCAAGCCCGTGGGATTCCGTTTCCGAGTGAGTGCAAAGGACTCTGTACAGGATGGGCTGGAGGAAGCCCTTTGCCCATAGAGTTCTGATGATGGGAAACTCCCTTTTTCACAAGGAAACTCACTTCAGTTTTAGACAGCTCTGATTGACAGGATGACACGTTTATTCAAATTGAACCAAAATATTTAGTCCACTTGGAAGTATGATGTCTTGTTGACACAGCAGCTTAAGTAATAAGCGTCGATGCCTTTTTTTTAATAACCTGATTACTAACCTAGTAGGCAAAATGTGCTTAGTGCAAGGCTTTGCCATTGGTGGCGTTTGCACAATACAACACGACAATCAAGGAGCGCTAAGTCCTGTCTGTCAGCAGAAGTACAGCTGACATTTAAAATAAGAAAGCTAAATAAACAGTCATTGTTCAACAATAGCTTGATTAATTTCCCTATTGTCAAAAGGTATACACAGATACTGAAACAGAAAAGGCATTCTACGTTGTCGTATAGCACTGAAAATTCGTAGTAGTTAATACTTCCAGCTTGAAAGCATGCAGTTAGCATTTATGCAATCTGATGAATTCTCTAGATATTGGCATTGTGTGGCAAGGCTGGCATGCCCAGCACTGTGGGAGAACAGTAAATGCACACTACCTCTGGATGGTTATTCCTAAATTTATTTTGTAGAAGGTGTCTTTGCTTTTTATTTTTTTAATCAAGGGATTTCAAGGGAAAGATAAGCCTTAATGCATGACAGGTTCTGCCTGACTGAGCCAGCAGCATCTGTGCCCCCAGGTATGTGGAGGCTCACCATCAATAAATGCCAGAACGTGCTCAAAGCACCAGTCTTGGCTTGGGATAAGTGCCCACCCCAGGGTGTGTTTTACATTTGTGAGGGACTTGGGAGGAAACCCCCTCACACAGATGTATTAAATATTAAAAGATAAGATGATTTAAAACTACTAGCACGCCAAGTAGAACTTTGCTGTTGGAAGTCAATCATTCCGATGAATTCTGACGGGTTGTACAAACATTTATGAATAGAGTCTCTTTGTTTCCCCTGTAGTCAGACACTCTCTACCCCGTTACTCTGCTTTGTTTTTGCTTCATAGCACATATTAACATTTACTTCCTAATTTCAACATGTATTATTTAATTTATTGGTTTATGGTCTCTGCCCCTCCATAAAGTCTAAGTTCTGTGATGGGAGGGCAGCTGACTGTCATGTTCACAGTCGTATCTGCAGCCTCTGTTACAGAGCTCAGCCCATCGGCATTCAATAAATACTTGTTACATGAGTGAATACACGAATACCAAAATAGACTTAAAAGAGCAATTGTTTCCTGTGCTATAGAAAAGTTGTGATTTAGTTGGGTGTGATGGCATGCACCTGTAGTCGCAGCTACTTGGGAGACTGAGGCAGGAAAATCACTTGAATCTGGGAGTCAGAGGTTGCAGTGAGCCAAGATCACACCACTGCACTCACTCCAGCCTGGGTAACAGAACGAGACTCCAGCTCAAAACAAAACAGGCCGGGCACAGTGGCTCACGCCGGTAATACCAGCACTTTGGGAAGCCGAGGCAGGCAGATTACAAGGTTAGGAGTTCGAGACCAGACTAGCCAACATAGTGAAACTCCTTCTCTACTAAAAATACAGAAATTAGCTGGGCATGGTGGCACGCGCCTGTAGTCCCAGCTAGTCAGGAGGCTGAGGGAGAAGAATCACTTGAACCCGAGAGGCGGAGGTTGTGGTGAGCTGAGATCACACCACTGCACTCCAGTGTGGGCAACAGAGCGAGACCCCATCTCAACAACAACAACAAAAAGTTGTGGTGATTACAATGGGAACAGGTTTTTATTTGCCCGGTTCAGAAATTTTTTTTATCACATGAATATTTTTGGATATTTCACAGGCTAAATATTTTCATGAAGTTCTTTAATCATGTAAAAGAAAAAATACATATAGCAATTGTGCTGTCTCCACGCTTGTTCAGTCTCTCACCTGTTCTCTTACTCCCATCCTGCCCTTCCTGCTTCCTGTCACTCTATTTTAGACTCTTTTTGTTTTAGGACAATGCTTGGTTCTGCCCACTGGGCGAGTACTGACTGCTAAGCAGCTAGACAGCAGGCATAAGTAGGGGACACCACTAGAAGAAAGGGGGTCCACTGTCCATTCCCAAATAGGTCCTTACTGGCCAGAGTCAAGCACCTCTTCATAAGCCCTGGGCAGCAGGAGTTCCTGCCTAACGATTTCAGATAGGACTCTGTTTAAGCAGCATACAGGAAGAAGACTCACCATGCAGGAAAGGCGAAGGGACAATGACAGAGTGAAAACGTGAGGTCACGGGCAGCATCTTTAATCCACCAAACACTGCTCTGGTGGGTCGTGTCATCTCCACTTCCCATGCATGGAAGCAAAGCTCTTGTGTCAGAGCCATTCTCTGGCCTCGTCAGGAGTTAGTCACACTCTTTTGTCTCCAGAGCCCCTGCTGCCCCACAGCGCTCCTCACCTGACCCCTCTTAGCCATAGACTCTTGAATACTGGCTGCTTCTTCAGCTTCTGTTTTGTCAGTGTTACTTTTGGTGGTTAGCGCTTGTTTTGACAGTTTTCTCTGATAGTAAGCCATCATCGTCGACCTTCTGTGTAAATTTGATGGGTCCCTCTTCCATTTTGAGATACGTCCAGAGGTTGATTTTGAGGTCTGAGACAGGTTTCTCTTCCTCAAGTAAATATCTTGTAGTAGATTCATTCCAAAAAATAGACTACTGATTCCATTTTTAGACGATGTCAATGTATACTACTTTCTAAAAGGAATGTAGGTAACATTCTCTCAGTGCTTTGAGTGCTTAATGGAAACATCATGTTTTTTGAAGATGGTCATTTGTAGATGGTGTTCCTTTTTTTTTTTTTTTTTTGAGAGGGAGTCTCTGTCACCCAGGGGTGGAGTGCAGTGAGGCGATCTCAGCTCACTACAACCTCCGTCTCCTTGGTTCAAGCGATTCTCATACCTCAGCCTCCTGAGTAGCTGGGATTACAGGCGTGTGCCACCATGCCTGGCTAATTTTTGTATTTTTAGCAGAGACGGCGTTTTGCCATGTTGGCCAGGCTGGTCTCCAACTCCTGACCTCAAATGATCCACCTGCCCCAGCCTCCCAAAGTGCTGAGATTACAGGTGTGAGCCACTGCACCTTGCCTATAGATGGTGTTCTTAGGGTTAAAAATGTGTTCTGGCCTGGTGCCGTGGCTGGTGCCTGTAATCCCAGCACTTTGGGAGGCTGAGGTGGGTGGATCACCTGAGGTCAGGAGTTCGAGACCAGCCTGGCCAACATGATAGAACCTACATCCCTGGTACCCTGAAAAATACAAAATTTTGCTGGCTGTGTGTGCAGTACCTATAGCCCAGCTACTTGGAGGCTGAGGCAGGAGAATCACTGGAACCCGGGGGGCAGATGTTGGCAGTGAGCCAAGATCATGCCGTTACACTCCAGGCCTGGGTGACCAAGAGTGAAACACTGTCTCAAAAAAAAAAAAAAAAAAAAAATGTGTGCTGAGTGGGCTAAACACAGGTTTTACGAAAGCGAATGTTTTCTCTCCAAAGCCTCTGGTTCTAGGTTGTTGGTTTGTTTTGTTTTGAGACATATTCTCGCTCTGTCGCCATGTGGCCGCGGAGCAACAGTGGGCGACATCTCAGCTCACTGCAAACTCCACTGCCCAGGTTTAAGCGATTCTCCTGCCTCAGCCTCCTGAGTAGCTGGGACTACAGACGCCTACCATCACACTTCGCTAATTTTTTTATTTTTCGCAGTGATGGGGTTTCACCATGTTGGCCAGGCTGGTCTCGAACTCCTGACCTCAAGTGATCCGCCCACCTCGGCCTCCCAAAGTGCTGGTGTTACAGATGTGAGCCACTGCGCCTGGCCTGGATCTAGATTCTTAACTTTCCTGCTTGACACCCTCAGGCATCAAGCTTCAAGAACTGAGGAATTCACAAGTTGGCGATACACTGATGAATTTACATTTGGAAGGTGTACCAGTAAAAGGTTAAATAGTAGTAATAATTATAGAGATTTAGAGCAGATTTTAGTTGAAGAATTGAAATTGACATTTGCTAGCCAACTCTTTTATGAAATGTTCCCAGAGGACATAGGGACAAGATTTCTCTTGGTTTAACTGGATTGTTTCCTGAAAGAGCATTTACAAGACATCTTCTGGTGTTTATTTATGTCTTTTTCAACTAAATGTAAAAGAAACTTTGTCTTTATGACTGTGATGTAACATTATTAATAATGAAATTAGATTAAGAAATTATACCAATACCTGATTTTCTTCTATATTTAATAGTTCATCTTTACATTAAAGTTTTCTCTTATTAAATAGTCCCTGCTTAATTTTAGAGTTTGCACATCTCAGATATCTGAATAGCATTATCAGGTTCTTTTTGTGACCCATCCGATAAGTTAGAGTATGTCAGGTGACACAGTTTTTTACTCTCTTTCCATTCAGTACTAAATGTGTGTTTTGTTTAGGCTTTAGGGTCAGGAGGAAGGCCAACCTGTACTTGTAGCTCCCTTTGTAGCAGTTTAAATAAAGCTGAGCTTTAACAAAGTTCTTAAAATCTTAAGTCACACACTCAAAATAGTGGAATTTCAACACTAGATTTATTTTTGTCTTCCTTTTCATGCACATGCATTTCACATTAGGATAGAGATTTTATTTAAATGCTGCAATAGCCTGTGTATTGATTTTCTAAAGATAGCTAATCCTTTATGTCAGATACTTTCAATAAAACTAGTTTCTGCTACTTGTGTATTTCCAGCATTGAATGGATAGGAGGGAGTCATAAAAGTTTAATCAAACCAAGCGTACATTTGTTATTTTATTGTTTATTATTGTTACAATAGTGAGAGCAATAAAGCTAAGTACAGCTAAAAGCATTTGTTGAGTGTATTTGATGTGCCAAGTACTATGTATATTGCTGTATAATCTCATTTAATTCTCTAAACAGTCCCAGGGATGCATACGTAACTTACTTGCCTGAGATCACGTAGCAGCAGACATTAGAACCAGGATTCAGAGTCAAGTACTCTGACTCGCCTGTGTGAGCTGGTAATTTCTTCAACTTCTTTGTCAGGTTATACCAGGAAGTTTTTGCTTTGGAATACGTGCATGCATATTCCATTGTATTTTTTCCCTTGCTCTTTCATAATTGTTGGCAACTGAGTGGCCTTGTTGGGAATACAGTGATGCTCAAAGAAGATATTATTGGGTTATCAGAGTAAGATATCATGGGGACAAATCTGCAAAGTGGCATGTGCTAACTAGTATGCTAACTAGTAACTAGTATGTATACTAGTATGTAATTGCCTTACCTACAGTAAAATGATTTTGTAGGAAAATAAGATTTGTTGAATGTAAACGCGTGAATGCACGGCATGCAAAGCAAGATTTGGAACTTTACAGAATGCTTATTGGCAGAAAGCTGCTTTTCTTGCACAGCATAGCAGGAATAAATGAGGAAAGCATGTCATGGAATCAGAGTTACAATTTAGTAGCTCTAGGATTATGACACAATTTCAATAATAGAGGCACCCCAGAATAACAGCCAAGTAAATAGAATCCCTAATCTTTGGCTTGTTCATATATTTACTCAACGTAGCCTCTGAAATCACTGAAAGCTTTTTGGAAGAAAGAAATGGAAAGGAGCACCTGCATTCTCAAGGCTAAGACCTCCCTTTTGTAAATGCACTAATATTTTAAGAGGGTGTGTGCATGTTTAATGTGTGGGTGTGTTTGTTTAAGGAAGACATTGAGCTTCAAAAGGCAAGATGTTTTGTAACCCAGAAATGTAATTGTAAATGGAATTATTAAATCTGACAATGAAATTAAAATAAACTAATGTGTAAACAGAGCACATATGTGGGGCTGTACTTGCTGGCTCACCTTCTGTGTAACACGGGTTCAGAGGCTTCACCTGAGTTAATAATTCGAGAGAGAGAGAGAGAGCCCCATATGTGAATGCTAACAGATACCAATCCAGCACAGGGAGCAGCTGAGTCTTTTCAGTTCAAAGGAAGAGAAGAATTTCACTTCCTGGCTGATAGTCTGATTTTCTCAAGAACTGATTGTAGATAGACGGAATCTACCTTTAGCAAAGGGTGTGGGTAACCACAGTCTTGTAGCAGAGAAAAACTTCAAAGTAAAGATGGTGAGCCATACAATTGCCCTAGGCTTGGGAGAGACAGATCTGGAATGAGGATTCTGATCTCATAAAATTCACTTAAGATTTTTCAAACTGCCAGGCTAGCCTTTGTAGCTACAATTCTTAATCAGTCTAGGTTGAGTTTGGCACATAAAATTATTTCAGCGGAAAAAATAGCCATTAAACTATTATGATGAATTATTAGAATTAATAATGGTGCTGAGAATACTCAAACCTCCTTTTCATTCACTCCCAAATCTGTTTAGATAATCTGCTTTTTGGTACATCTGAGTTATTGTTATGTCTAGTAATGGAGGATGGCATAGCACAGACAGCTGTGTATCTGAGTGAATCGCAGGTTCTAAAAAGATTTCTGACCTCTTTTTTAAATTGTGGTAAAATATACTACATGCCATACCATTTGCCATGTTACCCGTTTTTAAATGTATAGTTCAAAGCCATTCACAGTGTCCTACACTTACAATGCTGTGCAGCCATCACCACTATCCATTTTCAGCACTTCCCCATCACCCCAGTGAAGACCCTTTTATCACAGAAATCAGCAGGTAGAAAAAAGGATTTATTTTAATTCCATCTTTTGTTTCTTTCTTTTAGTAGATAAACAGTTACCTAATAAGCAGATGGCAAAAAGTAGAAAAAAGCCGTGATTTATGAGCTGGATAAGTAGCTTGTGATTGTGAGTTTTATGATAGTTTTATGATATTTAATCATAGATCAAATGTTTTGGAATTGAACTTGTACAAAAATAGTAAGCAACCTCATCCTTCAACTCTTGAACTAGGAAGCAGGTTTTCATAAATCGTCGGGTCTGATTATGATAGTGAGTGAGCATTTCTCTGTGTTAAATTCTGTATCTTATTTAATCCTTCTTAACAATCTATCGAAGTAGATGACATTGTGCCAGTTTTATGAACTTCAAACATTATACTAAACTCCAGCATTTTACTTTTACTTAGATTGCCTCCAGTGGAGGTTAAGTGACTAGTCTGAGGTCCCTTAACCAGTTGGTTAACCCAGGGTAATCTCTTACTAAACCCTTGCTCTAACCATCAGGATATATTGCCTTCTTTCGAGCCACCTAAAGTTTGATTTAGAAAATGAAAAAGGTATTTTTTTCTCTCTATTCTTTCTTGGCACCCCTTCAAAGGAAAACAGTTGTATAGTCAGAAGAGAAATAGCCTGAAATTTCGTATAATGAGACACCATGCGGAACCAGATAACGTTCCATTCAGCCCCAAATTCACACCGGCACAGTGCCCCCGCCAGGCTGTTGGTGGAACTGCATGCAAATGGCTGCTCTGCTGACCAGCAAGGCCCGGGGGGGCTGTTGTCCTGTAGGGAGTCCTCAGGACATTTTGTTTTTTGGAGACTGAGGCTCTTTTTGGTCCACCAGACTGTTTCCTAACTAAGTGATACTTACAGGCCTTAAATAGAAATCTGGCTAATGGAACTTAATTAATTAATTTCTACTAAGTCCAGTGCTGTGGCTGAAATGTAAGAATATGACTAGCTTTTAACTTTTATTTTATTTTTTAAAAAACTTTTTTTTCTAGGTTTGATGTACGTGTGCAGGTTTGTTATATAGATAAGCTTGTGTCATGGGGGCTTTTATCACCCAAATTATTTTATCACCCAAATTATTTTTTCACCCAGGTACTAAGTCTAGTAGCCAATAGTTATTTTTTTTTCCTCTCCCTCCTCCCACGCTCCACACTCAAATAGGCCTCAATGTGTTCTCATTATTTAGCTCCCGCTTACAAATAAGAACATGCAGTATTTGGTTTTCTGTTCTTGCGTTAGTTTGCTAAGGATAATGACCTCCAACTCCATCCACGTTTCTGCAAAGGATGTGATCTCATTCTTTTTTATAGCTACATAGTATTCCATGGCGTATATGTACCACATTTTCTTTAACCAGTCTGTCATTGATGGGCATTTAGGCTGATTCCATGTCTTTGCTATTGGGAATAGTGCTGCAGTGAACATTCATGTGCATGTGTCTTCATGGTAGGATGATTTATATATTTAGGTATATAACCAGTAATGGGATTGCTGGGTCAGGTGTTAGTTCTGTTTTTAGCTCTTCGAGGAATTGCCGCACCGCTTTCCACAACGGCTGAACTAATTTATACTCCCGCCAACACTGTGTAAGCATTCCTTTCTCTCTACAACCTCATCAGCATCTGTTATTTTTTTTTGACTTTTTACTAATAACCATTGTGACTGGTGTAAACTGGTATCTCATGGTGATTTTGATTTTTTAGCTTTGATTTTAAAGAACGGATGAGGTATTTGTCCTGGGTGTCTTGGCCTCAGGGCACCGGCCACTCCTGATTGATGTTAGGAGTTCATCCACCTTTCCATATACACAGAGCACACAGACCTCCCCTCTCCTGGGCAGCCTTGGACACCAAATTCAGGAACTTCCCTTGCCCCTTTGAAACCCACAAGCAACGATACTTCCTTCCCCGACTCCACAGGGGAAGATCCAGTTTCAGGGAGACCCAGGCTATGGAGGGCAGTCCCTCTGTGCTTCTTCCTGTCCCCCTCACACCTCCTGGCACCCCCTGACAGGGCTCAGCGGCAGTGAGTCACTGTTCTTCGTCCAGGAACAATCCCTGCTTTTGCAGTGAAGGTGGGGAGTAGAAATCAGGCATTAAAGCTTCCTTGTGTATCACCCAGACTTTATGAATCGGAGGAAAGACAGAATCATTTAAATGAAAAAACAGCTGCTTCAGCTACAAATCCTGGGTCTACAGAATCGGTCTTTGATCAGACAAAAAGATCAGTGTTCCGTAGACATCATTAAATTGTTTCTAATAACGGGTGAACTGATCTTTTTTTTAATCAGCTGGAAATCTTCTTGAAAGAAGTAGAACCAACTCTGGCTTATCAAAGTAGAAAACCAATTTTTTTTTTGAGGCCACAGAATCAAAGGAAGAAGTTAGAACAGGGCTCCAGAGGAGCAGCTTGCGGGGGCTGGGCAGAGGAGCGGCTGTGTTCTTCGTGGGGCTGGTGCTGAGATGGTTCCCTCCAGCCAGCCATAGACCTTTCTCCGTGCCTCTCAAGACTCCATCCGGGACGAACACACCTGGGCAGCCTCACTGGGTGAGCCAAGGGCAGGAAGAGCTTCCTTATTCGCTGGCCCACCGCAGGGTGTCTGCCTGCACTGTTGGCGTTTTGGGATCAGATAAGTTCTTTTTATGGGGCCTGTCCTCTGTGTGGTAGGGTGGTTCACTCCCCCAGTGTGACAACCAAAAATGTCATCAGGCCTTGCCAGATGCCCTGAGAGACAAAATCACCCTCTAAACCACTGCCCTAAAGCAAAATTGTTCTCCTGACCAGAGGGGAAATGGATGCTAGGTGGAAAAAAGCAGTATCCTACCCCATTGACACTTCGTGCTGTATAAACAGTTATGTATTTCCATGGCTTTCTCCCCAGCTCATGGCGTTCCCCAGAACAGAAATCTCATGTCTCACTCATATGTGTGTGCCTGCTGTCTCTAGTACACAGTGTTTAGCACACAAGTGCTTAGTAAACATTTCCTTTGATAAATGCATGAGCAGACGTTCAGTCTGAAGTGGAGTCAGGAGTGGTCATGTTCCTGCTTGCTGCCGTGCACAGGGAGTTTGGCCTGCAGGCAGAGGCATTTATCTCAGAACGCTAATGGTGGGAGAGGTCCATGCCTGTGGGGAGTCAGACCTAAGCAACTCTATCCACCTTTCTGCTAAAATCACCCACTTTGGCAGAAATCATGACCTATCAACAGATGGCTGGTCCTCTACGACTTCCCTGTGTTTTCCTTGAGAAGTGGCTCCCTCTGGGCTCCTGCCTGACTGAGGTTGGGTTCTATTTCTCAGGCTCAGAACAGTCAGAATGAAAGAAGCTTCCTAGGTGTGTGTTTCTGAGCTTTTCTCATAAAAGAGTTAATAATTGATCAGCACAAATTACTGTCCTCTAGAATGTTCCTAGTAATCAAAACATACCCTGCTTTTTAATTTTTTAAATAAAAGGACTGCCTTAATCTGCAAAGGGCACCTCCCATCTGGGAGACTTCTTGAGCAAGTGCAGAGCCACAGCTTCCACCCAGCTCACGCTGACACCACATCCCTTTCTCCCTCCCCACTACAGATCTGGAGGCCAGATCCATGCCAAATCCACTGGATCAGTGTAGGTGCTTTTCCAGGTAGCTGGGCCCTCAATAACTTTGAACAGTGTGCCAAATAAATTATAGTTTTACACGAAACAGTTGTTTTCTATTTCACCTGAAAAATCTTTTGTAGTTAAGTAGAAAATTATATGCGTCTACATCTTTCTTGCTCGGTGTTTTTCAAGTTCTAGTTGCCAGTTGAGAGAAACGACATCTCGTTTTCAGGCTTAATAGGTTTCCGCAGGTGCAGCTGAACCACGGGTGTTGAAGGTGAGCGTGCAGCAGAGTCACTGGGAAGGCTCCTTAAAACGCAGGCCACTGGGCCCGTCCCCAGGTTCTGATTCAGTAGGGCTCGGGTGGGGGATTAAGAATTCACATTTCTAACAGGCTCCCAGTTGACACACCAGTGATGTCAGTCCACTTTTAGGTCCACTGGATCATAGTTTTCAGAAGAAAGTCTCAGCCAGTCACAGAGGCGCACGCCTGTAATCCCATGGGGCACTTTCAGCGGCTGAGGCAGCTGGGTCGCTTGATCTCAGGAGTTCGAGACCAGCCTGGGAAACATGGCGAAACCCCATTCCTACAAAAAACAAACAAACAAACAAACAAACAAACTAGCTAGGCGTGGTGGTGCATGCCTGTAGTCCCAACTGAGGAAGGCAGAGGTGGGAAGATCACTTGAGCCCAGAAATTCAAGGCTTCAGTGAGCCGAGATCGCACCACTGCACTCCAGCCTGACTGACAGAGTGACAGCCTGTCTCAAAAAAAAAAAAAACAACTCAGTAATTGTTACATATAATACATAAAGGGGTCTCTAATCTTTTGGCTTCCCTGGGCCACATTGGAAGAAGAATTGTCTTGGGCCACACATACACTATACTAACAACAGCTGATGAGCTAAAAAAAAAAAAAAAGGAAAAAAAATCACCAAGAAAAAATTTAATAGTATTTTAAGAAAGTTTATGAATTTGTGTTGGGCCACATTCAAAGTCATCCTGGGCCACTTGCGGCCCACAGGCCATGAGTTAGACAGGCTTGATATATAATAAATAACACGTTTTTTCTTTTTTGGGGCTGTTTGTTTGTTTTGCCTTCCTGAAATTCACATTAGGCATTTAGGCACAGATTGAATGAATGGATGAATGAATGGAAGAACTCTTACAAATATTCAATTAATAGTTTCTTCGTTCATTCATTCTTTGACTTTCATTAAATTTGGATCATATTCAGCCGTTGATCAAAAAGCCATAGTTTCATTTTATTGGGCACCTTTGCTTGGTGTCAAGCAATATATGAAATAGACTCAAAGAAAAGATGTACCTACTCTTCTTCCAAGCTTTAAAATAATTCTGCCTTTTAATTGCCCGGTAATCCCCTGTATTTATGAAACTAAATGATACACCAACCATTTCACCCTGGGGCCTTAGGAAAGGGAGCCAGAACGAGATTTCGTCTTTGCAAGGTTGGCTTCCAGGTATAATCAAACTGCCAACCAATTGCTCTCCATCATGTTTTCAAATAATTATATTAGTTGTACATCCAAAAGGGCATTCAAGGGATTACGCAGGTTAGGCCACGAGTATGCTGATTTTTAAATGAAGGTCTGGTTGGATTATGTGTTCGTTATGTATTGCAAAATCACAGAATATGGACTTGCAGCTTCGTACACGTAATGAACTCATCCTGGAGCTGACAGGACCTTTTCTTGGTGAAAGTGTAGAAATCTGCATAGTTAGGAGCCCCTTAAATATGTAAAGGCTTCTGTTTGAAGGGGTTACCGCAGACACCTGGAGACCACCCAGGAAGCATCCTGAAGCACAGACCTCTTGGGCACTTTTTCCTCCCAGGGTCACGCCAAGACAGGAACTCCAGCAGCAACCAAGCATCGCGAGCACTGTGTGCCCTGATGGGAAGAGGCTCTTGGTCGTTACATGAGTGCCTGTCCTGGTCACGGGTGTCCCAGTCACAGCTGGGCCAAGCCACCGTTGGCAGTACCAGACTACAGCCCTGTGAGACGAGGCCGCTGATCTCTGCCCTCTCCTTCCAGCTAGCTGGGCACAGTCGGGGCTGCTTGTAAAGTGTGCTCCACAGAGCGGACGCCGCGCCAGTTGGGCACAAGTGCTCATGGGTGGCACCAGGAAATAAGGAGACCTTTCTCTCAGGATTTTCTGCGTATTTAGGTTCTGTCCATCAAGGATGCTGATATTTAAATATAAACCGTTTTAGAATGTATTTGACAGAATGTCAGGGCATGAGGCAGTAAATATATCATGGTGCTTTAAGAGCATGGGCTCAGGAACCTGACTGCCAGGGTGAAAGCAAACCTGTGAGCTGTGTGACTCTCTTGGCTTCTGTTTTCTTACTTGTGAAGATAGGGGTCTCAAGGTGTGTTTTAAGGAGACCCCGGATCAGTGCTCTTAGGACAGTGTCTGGTGCACAGTGAATGCCCCGTAAACAGCCACCACGGTTCTGGGAGTGGAATGGCTGGTGTCCTCTCTGATGAGCCCCGTCTAGGCCAGCTGTCTGCAGGTCAAGTCCTCCTGCATGGTATTTTTCTCCTCACTTTCTTTCCAGCTGTATGTCTGCAGTCACTC